CGCATATCAGTCTGATAGCTCCAGGGAGCCTGCGGGGCTCACCCAGAAAATGGGTAAGTCTTCTTGCTAGAAGGCTGAGAGCGTCTCTTTCCCATAGCTCATGGTGACTCTTACCCTACTAGTTTTCTCTTGAACATGACTTGCCAATCAGATAATAACCAAGTACAGTACCAAGTTACTGCTGGGTGAACCTGGGGCTCATGCGGCCCAGGCTCTGCTTCAAGTGGCTGGGTCGTTCTTGCCCTTGCTGGGGTGGTTCGACCCCAACCACGGCGGTCTGAGTTTGGAGTCCCTGTGCCTTCTTTCACCAACTTGAGGTCAACTCCGGAGCTCTCAGTTCCTTCAATGGCGCTGGAACCAATAGTATTAGTGTTTGCCTTTTCATTGGAGACTTTCAGCGCTGTGGAGAGGGGGGGGGGGGACCTGCTGCTTGGGTAACAACTTCTCCTCCGTATCAACCTACCCTGGCTTTGCGCCCTGGAGAGGCCACTCCATACCAACAACCAGAGCGCAACTACAGTGTCTTGAGATAGATGGATGCCTCCTATATCTACAAATGTATCCCCCTTCCCCCTTCAAATACGGAGGATCTTTATATTGCACTGTACAGTGCAATTTACATTTGACTTACATTTGTAAGTCACTCATAAATGTTAAATCTGCAAATGCAAACTAAGGACTTGTGAGAAAAAGGGGAGATTGGTTTGCCCTCACACAAATACAATACTGCACTTAATTTTGAAAAGAATAAATGGTGTAAAAAGTAAGATAAATGTTATGTATGTGTGAGAATAATATGTAGGTATGTGTTTGGGTGAATGAATGACAGGAATGCAGGTGAACTGAAGGGTTTGTGAGTAGGAATGTGTTCTCAGCGAGTGTGTTTTAGAGGATGGATATGTTTTAGATTGTAATTACAGTACATATTTATGCCAATAAGAAATTGGCTCCAGCTCTTAGAGTCCCACCTCATAGCTATTCTAACTGATTCAATTGGTTTCTCTAGACTATCTTGTTCTGTCATACTTTGTGACGCTGTAAATTGTAGATGTTTCAACTTTTGTACTTCTGCTCACTTCATACAAAGTATCTACCTGCATTTCTCCGACTCATTTGTGTTCCCAGATTACATTTGTACTATCCCATTCTGTTATCGCTCACCTGGAAAAGACTGTGTATTCACTTTCTTTCTCTGCAGCATCTTGTACATATTGTCTCTAATGCCTCTCTCTGAATAATGTTCTTTGTTTTATTTTGCTTAGCCTATTCTCATAATTCATTGGTTTTATTCCTGTGACTTCATATACACAGAACACAAAGACTTCTCTGGCAGTGAGAAGTCTTTGAACATTCTAAATTTTCATGTTTATCATGTGAGAGGTATCATGCTGGAGCTGCATACTCTAGGTCTGCTCCAACATATGCTATGTATAATATTCAGAAAGATTCCATAGTCAGATTTCTATTAGCCATGCTTATTTCTATCCATCTTGTCCATTCTTTTCAGTATCTTGTATGTTGTGATCATATTCCCTTTGTTTCTTCATGTGACCATGATATTCTAAGATGGAATACAATTAGAGAAATCCATATAAAGATCCAGGATGATGATTTTCTAAACTACCTTTAAGAAGACTATCATAGAATGAGACAGGAGTTGCAAAACTCCTGCTTTAGTCCTGAGGGTAGTGTTAATAGATCAGGACACGGAAGCATCATGTGAAAATTTCAAAATGATTATCACTGAACTTCTTCAAAAATACATTCCAAGTAAGAGAAGGAAATGTAAAAGAACTACAGTGGATAGATGACAGGGGCAGTAAAAAGAGCTATAACAAAGCGAAACCTCTGGAGCCAGTTTCAATCCACCTGGAATCACACAAAGAGTGAAACGCTAAGAATTGGTAGGGTCCTTAAAATATGGCTAACCATGTTATAATTAATAAAAAAGCAGCCAACACTGAATGAATACTTTACATCAGTGTTCACTAGAAAGATTAAACAGTATCCCAATATCTCCGTGATGTAGTGGCAAGACACTCGCCTGGCGTTCCGCGAGCGCTTTGTCATGGGTTCGTATCCTGGCCGGGGAGGATTTACTGGGCGCAAATCCTTAACTGTAGCCTCTGTTTAACGCAACAGTAAAATGTGTACTTGGTTGTAACAACGATTCTTCGCGGCGGGGATCGTATTCCAGGGACCTGCCTGAAACGCTACGCATACTAGTGGCTGTACAAGAATGTAACAACTCTTGTATATATCTCAAAAAAAAAAAAAAAAAAAAATGGCCACAAATGTTTGAAGTAGAAGAGAATGACTTGGGGGATATTCCCATAACATACAAAACAATCGGGAAGAGCATTAACACAGTAATGATTCAAAAGCCCAAGGTGTGGAAGGAATTCAATCGAAAGGCGTAAAGGAACTGGCAGAAGAACTATCTTCCCCCAACCCATCTTCAACTCAAGTCCATTATATCCAGCGGTTGATCCCACTGAAGCATTCATAAATTTTTCCATGCTGTTCATTCGAAACAGGAATTTTCTCAAATATAAATTAATATTATATATTAGCACATTGTGCATATATAGGTATAGGTTAGGTTAGGTGTTTAGGTTCTATTGGTGATTATTTGTATTTGTAGTACGTGGGTGAAGCATTTACAGCGTTGTGGTTCGAACAAAATTCGTCAGTGAAGCACTTGTTCCAGAAGTGTTCGAACAAAATCAGTTGCGAGTCGTGTGTAAACCATTTTTCATTCATAAACGGGGTTTGGCGGGTGCATGGAATCACTTTTGGGTCTTTGTTTGGAGGATGGGCTGCTTTCCCACTGAAACTACTACCAGTATTCAGAAAATCTCTAGACCAAGGAATAGTTCCTGTAAATTGAAAATATGCAAATGTTGCCCCTATCTTCAAGAAAAGGTAGAAAACGCTCGGCAGAAAATTATCGGCTGATCGGTTGCATTTGCATCTGCAAGCTCATGGAAAAAATCCTAAGGAAAGGAATTTTTGGGGGATTATGAGGATCCACACAATGTCTCAAGTTGTCACGAAGGTGCTTCATGCAAATTCAAAGAGATGATTTTTGGTAATTGATTTATGTCCTGTATTTTCCTCCTTTCATATCACATTTGTGGTATCAACCAAAATAGTGTGGAGCGATAAATAGGAGTACTGTATATGTGGAGAGAGCAGTGATTCAAATATATTGGATGAATATGATGAGAGCAGTGAATCAAATAACAAATCAAAGCAAATCCTTAACTGTAGCCTCTGTTTAACGCAACAGTAAAACGTGTACTTGGTTGTAACAACGATTCTTCGCGGCGGGGGTCGTATTCCAGGGACCTGCCCGAAACGCTACGCGTACTAGTGGCTGTACAAGAATGTAACAACTCTTGTATATATCTCAAAAAAAAAAAAAAAAAAAAAAAAAAAATGTAGTGAATGGATATGATGAGAGCAGTGAATCAAATGTAGTGGATGAATAGGATGAGAGCAGTGAATCAAATGTAGTGAATGGATATTATGAGAGGACTGAATCAAATGTAGTGGATGAATATGATGAGAGCTGTGAATCAAATGTAGTGGATGAATATGATGAGAGCTGTGAATCAAATGTAGTGGATGAATATGATGAGAGCTGTGAATCAAATGTAGTGGATAAATATGATGAGAGCTGTAAATCAAATGTAGTGGAGGAATAGAGGAATATGATGAGAGCCCGAGGTTACTTTGTGCAGTACAGTATATAATTTATATTTCTGGCTGCAGTTTTAAATAGATACATTTGGGTTTCTATTTCCTTACCATATTTTAGAAAACTGTTAACTCAAAATTACAGAATTTACAAATTATTCAATTCATGATGGCATGAAAATTTATACACTTTGTCAGAGTGGTGTGATCCTTGTAGTAACTGCAGCTAACCACTTGGATTAATTGGTACAGTGACAGCCATGCTAATTGCATGTCAACATTTGATCCCCAGCAGTCCAAGTACAGTACAGTAATTGGTACCGTTTTGTCCCTCTGTCTTATCCCAGATCCTTGTTCCTATATCACTGGAAGGGATATAGGGGGACATATCCTATGGAAGGGATAGCATACTAGTTTAGTGCTTTGTCCCCATAATTATCTTGCTTCTAATTCCTGCTGCCCATGTTAATTTAATGTTAGACACAACACTGCATCATCTTGGGGAAGGAAAATAGCAAGTAAGTTCAAAATAGAGATCTACACAGTTTGGAATGATTAGAGAGCAAATGTGTCAGGAAAGTAACAGTAGTAGTTTATCCCACATCATTCAGTGGTGCCACTAACCAGTTCTTGTTTTCCACCATGCTGAGATTTCTGTATTTCACAAATTGTGTTCATACTTAGAGACTTAATAAATGAATGTGCACATTAATTGATTGATATTACATGCCGATGATAAAATTACAATGTCAAATATGTTTAAGCCTTAAAACTTTGAACTCTGCATTTTTAATGAAATAGGCAGGAACTTATAGTAAATATGAAGTCATTTTTCTAAGCAAATTTACTTGTGCAGTATATACAAATACATGCAGGTATTCATGTGAGATGAGAGCATTGTGTGACAAACTGATCAAACACTTTTCCATTTTTATTTGGTTATGCATAAGCAAATTTTGTCTTTATTATACACTAACAAAAAAAAAGTTGGTTTAGAAAGAACATGAAAATTAGGGGAAGACCAAAAGTAAAAGAGGAAAAGAGATGGAGAGGATGCTGAAGCCCCTGAAGTGTTCCATTTTAATCTAGTGTAAATTCAAAAGGAAAAAATTCCCAGGAAAAATGCTGGGACCTTTGATAAGTTGCTGGCTTCCTGTTCCAATTGAGGCCACTAGAAATGGTGGCCATTGGGTAAATTTAGGTACATTGGGTCTAAAATATTAGTTGTTAATGGATGTAATACTCAATAGTCAAAGGAAACTATATTTTTAGGATTTTCTTTACATTTCCTACCACAGCACTTCCAAGGGCAGCCCCTTTCTTCAGTGTCGAGGTATTGCAGGTTTGCAGATTAAGAACAAAATAGTGGTAAGAAATAAAAAGACTGTAAATGAATAAACCAGGAGCATTACCTCTAAATGTGTAATATTTTTGCATATCTGTATACAACACTTGTGCTTTGTTCCTTGGATACTTACCTTCTCATGGCCTTCATGATATACAAACTTCCTGGCAACCCCATTTAAATATTATACCTGTACAGCTTAATACTTAACGTGCAGCTATAGATATCAATGCATGTCTGCAACTGTACAAAAAATTAAAGCATAATAAAATGCATATCGAATGATTAATTTGGATGCAACATATAAGGAAAAATTGAAATGGCTTAAATATCTACGTACAGTATTTACTTGTTAGGTGAGCTGTAGAAAGTTGGTGGGTGATGTGCCCAGCTGGATCTGTCAATGCCAGACCTCGCAGCTTGCTGGCACAGCAGCATGTAGCAGAAGACTTCAGTCTTGGTTGACCTTGGATATTTCTATGATCATTTCTATACTTTCTAAGATGAGGTAGGCTACTCTGTTGTTTTACCTGATCGCACATATATGTGTTGCCTGTCTCCAGAGATTAGCATTTTCACGGCGGAACTTTATGCCATTTTGTATGCTCTTTGTCAACTGCTTTCTCGTTGTCAACCCTCCTTTGTTGTTGTAGTTGACTCTTGCAGTGTCCTCATGGCTCTTGAGTCCTTTAATCTAGTCCATCCTGTAGTAGTCAAAATTCATCATTGGCTGTTTCTTATCTCCAGTAGATTTAAGACAGTGGAGTTTTGCTGGGTTCCCAGCCATATTGGTGTCTATCCTTAAATGAGCGTGCGGACGCTGCCAGTAAGGAGGTTGTCCGCACTTGTCCTATCTCCCGTAAAGGTATCCCCTATTCCGACTTCTACCCAGTTATGCATTCCTCAATCCTTGCCCATTGGCAGGGTTGTTGGTCTTCTGTTACTGGTAACAAGCTGTGTGGTTTTAAGGGTAGCGTGTCCCCATGGCCTTCCTCCTACCACCATAACCGGCGGTGGGAAACGGCTCTTGCGAGGTTACGTCTTGGCCATACACGCTTAACTCATGGGCACTTAATTGAGCACTGCCCTGCTCCTTATTGTCTAAACTGCATTGTCCCTCTTATGGTCGTGCATATCCTTGTTGAATGTCTGAACTTCCAGGACGTGCGTGTGTCTTGCTACCCGACCGTCCCTTGCGGTCACTTGTTCCTCAATAGAATTCTTGGTGATTTGGATACCTTCAATATTGTTCGCCTTATGCACTTTTGTTCTCGTATTGGCATCCTTAGTGATATTTAGCGCCCTATGAATATCCCACACATTTGATGGTGCTACATAGCCTTCCTGGCTTGGTGCCTTCTTTTGATAATTACAGTACTTTTTTTCCTTCTTCACTTTTTAGTTCATCCATTATAATATTTGTTTTGAATAACTAGATTTATGTTCATGTAATTTACAAAAACACAGATTGAGTACATTACTGACACTAAGGATAATGTATTTAGGCCAACAGTGAATATATGTATAAATGAATTAATGTACAGTACGTACTGTATCTATACTGTATATGTATCAGTAAAAACACAAGAACTAAGAGGTCTGCAGAAGGCCTATTGGCCTGTATGAGGCAGCAGCTGTTTGTATCCTCATATGGGCAGATTATCCCATATATGAATGATTTTGTGTGGGTTGGAGCTGCCTTGTATGGGCCAATAGGCCATTTGTAATTCCCTTATTATGGTGTTCAAATGATGATTGGTTGACCTGGATACTGTACTTAATTACGATCATATACAGTTGTGAAAACCTTATGAACATAATCAATATACATATTGAAATTTTATATCATGGCAATTAAAACATTGCATAGTAACCTTTGTGTTGTGATGATATTGTAACTGCATTTGTATAGTAAGTAATCATAGCAGGATTTTCAATGGGCCTAGGTAAACTCCACTACGTCGATATTGAAATAATAAATCCATATGAACATCATTGGTATAAAACCCAGACAATAATAATTTAGATCAACGTATGATGATTGCGTTACCCCATAAGTCAACGTATGACAATAACCACAATTTGAAGGTTAATACGTATGTTCCTCATGGAACTTATTCTATATGCACTCTCTTGTTTCCAGTCCAGGGATATGGGTTCTGAACCATAATTTTTTTCGTTACTGCTCTTTGTTTCTAAACTATAAGTATTCCTTTTACCACCCACACCCCCCACTCTATTACTCCACAGCTTTATAATGCAAAGTTTTAGTGTGTGTGTGCTTGCTCATCAAATATTATTAAGTCTTAAATTAAAAATGTAATGTAATTATGAATTATACTTAACACAATTCAGTACATCATTGATATTTTAGTAATTTAAATTAAGACCTTTATTGGAAATTAATGTTAAGTTGTATGAATATACTTTAATGACTAGTAAAGTAAGTATAAGTTGAAAAATAATGACAGGCACTTAGTACAGTATAGTGATAATGGTTTTCATTCCGTATATCAGAAAGTTGAGAGTATTAATTAAAGGATAACAGTACAGGTTGTCCTTTAGATGTGGGCATGGATAATGTGCAGAAAAATTGTCATATTGATTAGGAAGCTTTTTTGGTGACTGAAGTGTGGATGGCACAAGCAAATTACTTTTGAAGGTGTTAGAGAGTTTAAATAGAGAGGAAGATAGTGATTTACCTCGAGAGAGAGAAAACAGAGTGCCATGCAGGAGAACAGCCTGCTGAGGAAAATGGCAAAATACAAAGAAGGAAAGCAGGGTATCGAGGTGGTGCAGCAGAGTGCCGAAGGGACCATCGGTGTGCTGAATGCACACCGATGGATCTTCACCGCACCCTGCACAACAGGGTGCAGTGAAGGATACCATAGTCCGAAGAGGACAACACAGTGCCAAGCAAAACTATAGGGTGTTAGACAAGAAGGAAATACTGTAGTTCTAAGGGGAACAACAGGGTACTGGGGGAAATAACAAGGTGCAACAGGAAAATCAGAATGCTGAGGGTTGCAAAGAAAAAAACAGGATTGGATTACATGCTTATAAAAAAAAAAAATTTAAGTTTAAAGCATTAGAAGAGCAAGACAAATGAGAGTATAATATTGCTGGAAAAATAATTAAATTAAGAGAGGAGGACCTATAAGGATGGAGAGGTGGGGAACAGGACTAAAGATAAATATAAGAAAAAGAATAGAGAAAGGGTAAATTTGCTAGGAATTTGCAAAATGAAATGGGGTAGATATACACGCATAATACTATGCATATTTTCTTGTACTTTTTCTATCTATTTCCTTGCCCTCTTGGGATACACACACAGTATTCAGCACAAAAGTAAAACAGAGAATATAAATGCAATGTAAATACAATTTTGTTTTTGCCTGATTTAAAGCAAAAATTACTGGAAATCTTCTTTGGTATTTAATATTTTAAGTGTAATCCTGAAATTTGTTGCTATTTATTGCATTTTGCTGCTTTGCATTTGCATGTTAATGTTTACTTTTAAAATAACACATTCTGTGTTGAAGGTTTGCATCTTTCCTGACGTTGACAGTGACTAGCCTATACTATGATCAATAACTTGTCATTGTGAGGAAGTCTTTCATACAGTGGGCTGTCAAATTTTTGTTGCTTTGTGGGTTTGTGAATTTTATAGGCTTTGTTAGTGATATTGGATCATTTTTTTTAGATATCTTGTTATTGCTGTTGAATTTAAATTATTGATGATGCATTGTCATAAAAATTGTCATCCACACCTCCGTGGAAATAAACATTCCATTCACCTGAGCTCTGGGAAACTTAAACCGCGGACCCCACGGTCCACGATCTAGAGCTTCGGCCTCACGCGGGTGGGGTCCACGGTCCGAGTCTCCTAGACCCTCGGGTGAATGGAATGCATTGTCAGTTTAACATTAATATATTGACTTAATGTTATAGAATAAAAAAGACATTGAATCAAAATTATTGTCATTTGATCTATAATAAAATTGTGAATGATGTTGATTCAACATTGTTTTAATGTTATGTTTTCTAAATTTGTGAAAATAAAACTTTTGGCAAAAATATAATTCTTGCAAATTCTCGGGGTGCTAGGTGTTGTGAAGTCAAGATTTTTTGTTCCACTTGTTCTGTACTTTCTTTGTCACTACTGTCCAAAAAGATTTATTCCATCAATTGTTACAAAAATTTATAGGCAATAATGATGGACTCTATTATAACATGTAATTCACAATAGAGCTATAATGTGTCCATTCTTATACAGTATATTAAACAATTTTGTCACATGTCCTATCACTATCATCTCTAAAACATTAACAATAATGTCATCATTTGTAGTGATAATATTGCATATGGTTCACAAGATTAGTTATAAGCAATAAGATTATGTATGTGATTGTTTGCTCTTTACTGCGAACTAAGTGCTGGCATTGCTATTGAGTTGAAAGTGTCATTACATCTAGTCCTTTTGTCTAGCAAAGTACCTTATGATAAATTTAATATTTTTGTCCTAGTATTTACTGGTTTATACGTGTAATATGTATTTGCTATTTACTAGTTAAAGAACAATATAAAAGAAAAAGTGACCAAAAACCTTAGCAATTATGCTATAATTATATTAGGTTAGATGTTTGTTTTGGTCTGTATACAAAGTTTACATAGCTCCATTGCTAAGTAGACCCAACTACAATTATGTAAATTCTGAATCGTCAGGTACCAGTACTGCCGTCAGGTTTTGTGAGTGTGGTGCGATTGCAAGTGTATTGTTAATTAGTTATCTTGTATTTTCTATGAAAAGGCAGTTTGCCTTGTAATTATATGTGCTATATATTGATAATAAAAAACTAGGTAGTTTTTATAAAGTGTAGGAGACATGAAGATTGAACACAAGTACATGTCTACAACAACATGATAGATGCCAATGATTAAACATAAGTATTAGAGGTGCATAACTAATGCATACATTTTTACCACATACTGCATATATATCTAGCTTTCATTTTACAGTCTT